ACTTTATTAAAGAGAACATTGAAGTTGGAACTGTGTGTACACCATTCGTGCCTACCAAGGATCAAACTGCTGATATTCTAACAAAAGGATTGTTCAAACCAGTGTTTGAACAGCTAGTAAGCAAGTTGGGAATGTATGATATATATTCACCAACTTGAGGGGGAGTGTAAAATTGTACAGTCGGAATAGTTGTAGATAAAATACTTAGCCTTATCTGATGTATTTAATCACACGTATTAGATAAGTATAGTTAGGTAGTCAGATCCTATTTTTTAGGATCTCATCAGTTAGACTGTTAGACTTGTATCCTATATATATTGTACCCGGATGATGGAATAAATCAATTAATCCTATTCTCCCAAACCTACAGTAACTATCATAGATGATCACACACGGGTCACATGGGTTTTTTTTATTAAAGAAAAATCTGAGGTTGAAGATTTGTTCAAGAAATTTTACTCAATGGTTCAGACTCAATTCAATACTAATATCAAGATTGTGAGAAGTGATAATGGCCTGTATAAATAAAGGGATTATTCATCAAAGTTCCTGTATAAATACACCTGCTCAGAATGGAATAGCTGAGAGGAAAAATAGGCACTTGCTTGAAGTCACTCGTGCAATTATGTTTTCTGCTGGAGTTCCAAAATATTTATGGGGAGAAGCTGTTTTAGATGCTACCTATTTAATTAATAGGATGCTATCAAAGACTCTCGGGTTTAAAACTCCTATTGATACACTTCAAGCCAGTTTTCCTGAAACTAGGCTTATCAACTCTCTTCCCATAAAAATTTTTGGCTGCACAGTTTTTATTACCAACCCTGACAGAACTGCAAGCAAATTTGATCCTAGAGGCAAAAAATGTGTTTTCTTAGGACTATCTTCAACACAGAAAGGCTATAAATGTTTTGACCCTACAACAAAAAAGATGTTGGTAACAATGAACACTGTTTTTGTTGAAAATCAATCTTTTTTTAATACTCATCTTCAGGGGGAGATTTCTAATGAAGATGGTAATAATGTGTCACATATCCATGAAAAACTTGAATTTCTTGACATTAGTCTAGATGCACAGTATAATAGACAGTTAGATGCACTAGAAAATAGTCAAGAATCAAAAGAAAATGAAATAAAATTTTCTGAGACAAGGAAAGATGATGAACCATAGTCACATAGTTCGCGGAACGCTTCGGTACGGGAACGAGGATCGGGAATGCGGTTCACTAGATCTAGCGTATCCGATTCATAGGGGGGTAGGTTCATTCCGGTACACGTTCGGTACGCTGTACCACATGTTCGGTACGTTGTATCTTAAATTTTGGTAATATATAAAACTGAAGTACATAATCCGTAAGTCATAACATTAAACAATAACAGATTTCATAATAATAAATCATAACATAAAACAAATTAAAAAATATTAATATTCCAGAAATAAAAAAACAGTAATATTCCAGAAAGGAGTAAAGGCCGGAGAGAATAAAGTAGGAAAAGAAGAGCCTGGCCCTGGCGTACGAAGTAATTTATTTTCCCTCAAATTATAACACTTACAAGTTACAAGTTACAAGGTAACTTGATGAGTAGGGTCAGATATCGAAGAGCCTGGTTCAAAATCTGTACGCGACGTGAAACGAAGCAAAGGGCCAACCTGTCTCAAATTTGGGAAACGACGCTTCTTTCTGGTCAACGATGGGAAACGACCTTCCACCTGGGCAGCGACGGGAAACGGCGATGCAAATCGATTCACGCAGGGTTTGGGAGCGATTCTAAGAGCGATTGCGAGCGTTTGCGAAGAGCGAATGGGACGACTCTTGGACCGTATCGATTAGCGTTCCCATCCGCGACCGGATCGATTTCGTACCGCGTTTGGGTACGGAACGATCGGTACGCAGATCATGCCTTCCCCAGCGATTTATGTATCTATGTGATGAACAGCAGACAAGTAAATTTTTTGGCAAGGTTTATGAAGGGAGAGTTCCAAATCAAAGAATAGAGGACATCTCTGATCCTGCCACTGCTCATGAATCTGACTGAATGTCAGAAAATGACAAAGGTAATAATTCCAGTGATCTAAATCTACCCATTGCTCTCAGAAAAGAAAGAAGATCATGTGTTAAATAAATACCCTATCTCAAACTATGTGTCTTATTCTCAGTTATCTGCATCATTTGCAGCCTTTACCTCTAGCCTTTCCACTGTTTCTATTCCCTTAACCATACAGGAAGCTCTATCTAAATTTGAGTGGAAGAAGGCTGTTTTAGAGGAAATGAATGCTCTTGAAAAGAATCAGACATGGCAGGTTGTGGAATTACCCAAGAACAAACCAACAGTGGGATGCAAATGGGTATTTACCCCTAAATTCAAGGCAGATGGTACACTTGAAAGATATAAGGCCAAATTGGTTGCCAAAGGATATACACAAACCTATGGCTCCTATGATCTGTATATAAAAGGATATACTCGTAGAACCTCATAGTTACAAACCAACAGACATTTTATCAAAGAGAAGATTGAAGTTGGAATTGTGTGTACCATTCATATCTACCAAAGAACAAACAGCTGATATCTTTACAAAGGGGTTGTTCAAACCAGTGTTTGAACTACTTATAAGCAAGTTGGGAATGTATGATATATACTTACCAACCTGAGGGGGGTGTAGAAAAATGTAACATGTATTTGTTATTTTAATTTTATGTACATCCGGAACTGTATAGATAAGACTTAGAGTAGATAGAGCTCTTTAACTAATAGATAAGCTCGCAGAATAGATAGATCCTATTATTTAGGATCTGTAACAACTAGGCTTTATTTGTAACCTGTATATATATCATTGCCGAATGGCTCAATAATATTCAAGGAAGATTAATTCCTCAAACCTACACCATACCTATACGGCCAGACAGATGACAGCCCTGTTCTTGGTGCCAACTAAATCCTGTGGTCTGTAGATTGTTGAGGGGGAAGGTCCCGCGGCTCTCCAAATACTTTCTCAAACTCTCTCAAAACATCAGCCACTAGCTCCTCATTTGGACTCAGTAAAGTAGTGGGCTCTCCCTTTATCATAACTGCTCAAAATTCCACATTCCTGTTGAAAGCAGGGCCGACAGTCCCACCTGTTTCTGACATAGTGTCGGGTCCCCTTTCAACACTGCAGGGCTGTCGTGCCAATCAAATGACATAGTCATCGTATCCCAGTTGGTCCGGACCTCTCCCAAGGCTAATAGTCATGCTACTCTCAGTATAACATCCACTCCCCCCAACGGAAACACGTAACAAACTTTTGTACATTGCACCAAGGCAGCGAGATCGACACCCCCTAACAAACCCCTTCTGATTCTTGGCGACAATCGTCCCCCAATTGTACATCAAACTTCCCTGTCTTTTCTGCCCTTAGTTCTAGTCGAGATACAAGGGCTGTTGATATAAAGTTGTGACTAGCGCCACTAACCACCAAGACGGCCACTATTAACCCCTTTGTTACGCCTCTGAGTTGCATAGTACGAGGACTAAAAATTACAGCCATTGAATACATGGGAAAGTCCATATCAGCTACCTACTGCTCCTCATGTTCCCTAATTGCTCGACCTCCTCGGGTGGGACAAAAGATTCAGTTTGGTTGAGGTCGAGTTCCTCATCGTCCTCGGCAACCATTACTTGTAACTGCTTTAGTGGACATTCATGCTCGGGGGTATAGGGCTTCTTGCAGCGGAAACAAAGCCCTTTTGCATGCAGGTCTACCAGCTCCTGTGGTGAAAGGCGCGTGAACCAAGAGCGATTCACAGACTGCGAGGAAACTGGAGATTGCGAGGAAACTGTGCTTCCAGTCATCATTGATCCGGTCCCCGGCATAAGACCTGGAGATTGCGAGGAAACTGTGCTTCCCTCTATCCTTTGGGTTTCGGTAACTGGGGTGGGGGAAAACCCTGAAAATCCGCCAGACTTGGTGTAACTACCTGAACGGTCAAGTTGTCTTCAATATCTCTGGCCAACTCCATAGCAGCTTATAAATCTGCCGGACGGAAAAGCCGTAAGGAACTGTGAATTGTGTCCCGCAACCCTTTCATAGTACCCCAAGTAGTGGGCATCACTCAAAACGGGCTAGAAGGGCTTGTGAAAACTCTTCCCATGTGATATCCGGTTTCCGCAACCGTGACCAAGAAAACCAATACAAAGCAGGACCCTCCATGGCAGCCATGGCTGACGCCACCTTTAACTCGGGTCTGATGAAAGTCAAACTGTTGATTGGGCCTGGCGAGCCATCCTCTACGATCCGCCCTCTCAAAAGCTGGTAGCGCCAGTGGCGCGATCACAGACCCTGGATTGTGGGTGAGTTGTGTTACACCCCCTGATTCAGCCTTGCCTCCCTCTCCTGAAACAGGATCGCTCAGCAGTTCGCCTGATGCCATAACCTTATGCTCCAGTTTGTCCAGGGTTTTGGTGATAGCATCCAATTTTGCGTTTGTGGATTGCAATTCTGCCTTGATGTCTTTCTGATCTGCTTCTATCGTATCAATGTGTTGATCAATGGTAGAATAAGTCATGACAATGGATACGGCAGTGGATAGAATCCGGCAGGTCGGACCAACTTGATAGAAGCAGAAAACCAAAGTTCCAAGCAAATGATAACAATGTCTGCCCTAAGTCGTAGCCTAAGCAATTCTTATTTTTCCTCCCCCAATAATAGTCCCTATCAAACCCTTTATTAAGACTTAACCTAACCATCCAAAAATAACACATCACATAATCATGAAAATAACAAAAGTAGAAATAAACAATTAAACTAAATAAACTCCAAAAATCAACCTAGCCCATCTAGGCCCGACAACGGCAATGGTAAACCAATAACGGGCGAGGCCCGTCCTCCTGAAGCACAGGCCCAACTGTCTCACGCTCCTTAACATTACGCGATCCCAAACTCTTTTGGGACTAAAGTTTGGATGTTGTTGTTGATGATGATGATCATTGATTGTTAGACAAACCAAATTTATGTGTATTCATACCTGAGCAAGTATATTATGGTGGGGATCATGATGCAATGGTGTCACTGTACCAGCTGGGCCAAACCAAGCATTTAGTGATCTGATTTCCCCACCTCCAGCACAACAGTAATCGGGGACAAGAATGTCATGCTTCAGCTCTTGGATCTGAAATTTAGGTAAAGACCATTACTATTAAGCCAGTAACATCTCAACCCTTGATGTAGACTACCCTGTACGTGTACAAAAATTTGTACCTGATCAAATAATTGATGTTGAGCTAAGTATGTGGTTTCAGAAAAAGTGTAGCCATTGTTCTGAATCCTCTCTAGAAGCTCAGAAAATGTGATCAGCTCTTGCTTCCATGTTGAGCACAAGTAGTTCTTTCCAACCTTCAAAATTATAGTGTTAGTTTTATATTTTTTCCCAACCTTCAAAGTCAGAATGTTAGTTTTAGATTTTCAAAAAAAACATGGATCATACAATCATTAACACCGGACACATAAGAACCTTAAAGGGTTAAAGACGTAAGTTGATATTATGATATATATATATATATATATATATATATATATATATATATCTTAACCTATCTTATAAAGGACTCATATTCTTATTAAATGCTTGGACTTTGCTTTATCATGATGTACATTGTGCTGCTATTGATGTACGCTAACTATTATGCACACTCGTAGACGTTTACAGATCGTTACTTCCTTAACGGTGTCTAACTCTAACTATTTAAACAAAACTAACTCTTGTGGACTTCTTTTTTCGCATCCGTTTGTGAAGCCTGTGTTCCAGGAGTTCAGAAGTTGGAGCATCAATCAAAAATAAATTCTTATTCAATGAAATTTCAGTTTCAAATGATTTCCATCTCCTCTTCCGGTGCTTCTATAAATGGGTGTTTCCTTAGGTTTGTCATCGTTTCCACACGGCCTGATCAACACTTTGGTGAGTTCTATTCTTCCCTCCAATAGTTGATGTTTATTGATCATTACCATCGATTACCATTGATATATGAGTACTCTTACCATTGCATCTTTTTGCCTATGTTTAATTTGTTGCAGTTTATACTTTTGTTGGGTTTGTTTTCCACTCTTCTGTTTAATTTTCTATTTCTGTGAGCGCACAACATATAGCTTGGGACTTCACATAAAAATCATTTTAACGCATGCTAGGTGTTTGAGAATATGCCACTCCTTTTCCTACCAATAAATTAGTTCTATTTTTGCACATTTTCTGTTTTCTACTATATCTTCACAAAAAATGTGGAAGTGATGCAGGAAAAAGTAGTAGTATAACAATGGAGTTATTAAGTTCAGTTCACCTTTCTTCAAAATATGGGTAGCCAAATCTTAGGGGTATTAGGAAAGTTACAAATTGCCCATCCTTAGGAAAAATCAGTCAAGCATAGTCAATTCAGGCATTATGAATGTATTGTTGCCTTAATTCTCTAGAACACAATAAGCCACCACAAGTACATCTCATCTCAAGCTTCAATGTACAAACCTCATAGGAGTTGAGACAATAGCCTCCAGCATGAGTATCCTTGTTAATATGCACAACCCTTCATTAAGCACATTTATCACTTTTGCCACTGCCTCATTTTCTGTTTGTATACAGTTCTATGGGTCTATATTTGTTGTTATACATTTTGAGTGTATTTTATCTTGAAAAAATCAAAAGTTTAAAGACTCCTAAGCTCCACCGATCCAACCTGTGCCTTGTTAGTCCTTATAGAAGTTCTTTTCCCGCTCTTGTAGCCTGTTTGGGTTTCTTGTATTATATTAGAAACTGGCTAGTGTTACAGCATTACCTCCAACTTTTAGAATAGATATTAGTTAAATAAGTCATTTTCATTTTCATTTTCATTTACCCCAGTGCCGCAAAGGCTCCCACCTACGATGGGGTAAGGGGGGTCAGATGTACGCAGCCTTACCCTTGTACTAAAGCACAGAGAGACTGTTTCCGGATGACCCATAGTGAAAATCGCGTCCAAAATTGCATGGACTGACTGCTGCTCCATAACAAAGAAGCGCAGATAGTTTAGTGAGCCATTTTGCTTTATTCCATCATAATCTCAAACCAAAAAATAATGAATCTTTGGCTCCACATTGCAAATGATGGAAAATGTATTAGTTAAAAAAGTATGAAAGATTTTTATCTGTATGACAAAAAATGTTTCCACCCTTAAAAACTAACATGGACTTCCAGGTGTGTGATTTCTATTAAATGTCACTTAAGCTCCTTGAGATATACTTATCTATGGTTTATAATTATCTATAGTTTCATTTTATTAAAAACCCATGTGAACTTTCCACTTTTAGAAGTAAAAAAATACGATATGTTCATTTGATTAGTTGTACGTCTGACATAGTTTGAACGTCGTGCCCCATATTTAGAAACTGATGGATAGTAGTGCAAAATTGATGTTTTTCTCCTGTTTACTCGAAAACTGCTATATATTCTTTACAAAAAAGTGGAACGAATGCAGAAAAAGTAGTACTATAACATTTACTCTTTTAACTAAATTTCAGTCTGCACTACCCTTGAGTTTCTACATTTGTTAATGCGTTTTTTTTTGCTGCATTCTATGCTGCACTATTGCTGGGTTTTCCCCGCATTTTTTCCTCTTTTTTCCCCTGCATATTTATATTGATGAAGGCTTGGAATCTGATTGAATAGTCCCCACCAGTTCATATTGAACAGAAACTAAAAGCATCCTATATTAAAAGTCTTGCATTATTTGGTGCGTTTTCGCTGCACTTTTGGCTGCATATTCCCTACATATTTTCTATTACAGAAGCCGTGAATTGTGAATAAATCATCTCCACAAGTTCACGTGAAAGGACTCCAAAAGTGTATTAGGTGTTTCTATATTTGTTCAAGTTATTTTTTTTTTGGATAAACTGTAAATATATTCAAGTTATTTCATTTCACTGGCTCTCCCTATCTGTGTTCCCCCCCCCCCCCCCCGCATTTTCCCTGCATTTTCCCCTACACTACTGCTGCATGTTTCCCTGCATTTCCCCCAGTGTTTTCTCCTCCATATTTTGCATTGAAAAAGACTTGGAATCTGATTAAATGGTTTCCACGAGTTCACGTGCAAGGAGAGTAAAAGCACCCTAGGTTATAGCATTGCGCATGCCTTCAATCATGCGTTATTTATTTTTTACTGCACTTTTTCTGCGTTTTCCCTGCACTTTTGCCACGTTCTTCCTTGCGTATTTCGTACTCCCTCCGTCCCAAATTGAATTGCAAACTTTGACTGGCACAAGGATTAATGAAGAACAATAAATGATACTTGCTTTTTACACTTTTGTCCATCTTCTTAAAAGGAAAAAAGTAAAAGTCAGGGTAAATTTGTCATTTTATTCTTATCTATATACCTAAAATAGGAAGTGGAAAATCATTTTGGGACAACCAAAATAGACCATTTTGCAAATCAAATTGGGACGGAGGGAGTATTAATCAGACTTCCATTTGAGCGTTTTTTTGTCGTTCGCTGCGTTTTTCCCTGCAGTTTTTTACCGTCTTCCCATGCATATTTTGTATTGATCGAGAGTTGGATTAAAATTAAATAGCCTGCACAAGTTCATATGAAAAGAAAACTAAAACCACCGTATGTTATATCATTGTAGTTGCCTTCAAGTTCTGCGTTTTTGCTTTATTTTTACTGCTCTCTTTGCTGCGTTTTTACTGTAATTTTGCTCCGTTTGCCCCTGCATATTGCATATTAATGATTAATCTAGACTTAAACTGTCATATTACACAGCTTAACAAGTAATTCAATAAATCGCTAACTATTTGACTGGACACATTAGAGTTAGAGACAGATTAAGATGCTACTTTCCCATGCTGAATCCCCTTGTATCCATTTCCATCAATTGAACACGTACTCACTGAATATTTGCATTTGGGTTTGTAGAGTTTTTTGCATTCCCAGGAGATAGCAAAAGACTTCATTACTTTCCACATCTCAAGTTACGAAAGATCCAGGTGTGTGATTTCTATTAAATGTCATTTAAGCTCCTTGAGATATACTTATTTATGGTTTATAATTGTCTACAGTTTCATTTTATTAAAAACCCATGTGAACTTTGCGCTTTTAGAAGTACAACAATAGGATATGTTCATTTGATTAGTTGTACGTCTGACTTAGTTTGAACATCGTGCCCCATATCTAGAAACTGATGGATAGTAGTGCTCCATCGGAATTTTGGACAAGGCCCCAAACAAACAAGCAACAACGTTTTATCTCCACAAACGCGTTGAAACCAACATATTATAGCCAACAGAGTACAGTTAATGAAGGTTGGGCTTGTTTGCTTTCATTCTCACAGTTAATAACTTTCGATAATGGACATATACCGATTCAAATGTCCATCTTACTAATTCCTTTACACTATTATACTTAATCATCATAGGTTTTGAAAACTGCCTTCATCTTTTACCTTTTCTTTTCAAGTTTGCCTTGATATTTTCCCAGAAATATTGTCACTCCTAAACTCCCGTTATATTTATTTAAATTACATATATACTATCACGCTAATAATATTGATGTTGCCTTAGTTACTTTGTAATTGTTTATGGTATTTTATAGTAACACCATTCAACCCAACTACATTCCATAATTTGTGAACTTAATACTACACTTATGTTAAACATATTTTACAAAATTCATTAAAATTAAGAGTTGGGCATATTACATTCGCGCAACACGCGAACAATTTACTAGTGTGTGTGTGTATAACGGTGATTTCATAATGGCATTAACTATTACTCCCTCTGGCGAAAGAAACAACTTCTTTTAAACAGTCTTTTGTCACACACAAAATGTGTGCACTATGTACAAACGGAGCTAATAAGCCTAATATTTCATATAATTTGCCACAAAATTGTAAAAGAATATTCAAAAACAAGTTACTAGTAATGTTAGCTTACCCAGCAAAGAAGTTTTAAAAATACAATATATAATTTATGAATTGTGGCATTTGTAACTGACCAAAACCAACAAAAATTGTACATTGGTCAAACAAAACTTTCAAAATGCCCTTAGAGGGACGAGGATTGTAGATGAGGAGAAGCTACAAAAGCTACAATAACTATGGTAGAAAGGTGTTTGTCGCTTCCTCCTAGTGCACAAGAAGTTATATAACTCCAAAAGATTGATGATCTTATTAATGAATAGAGACTCACAGTTTATACTACTACCAATAGCCTTGGTGCGAAGCAAATCAAGTAAGAGTCCTAACTATTACAATATTCCTCTTACAAAAATCAAGTAAAATAGAATACCATTACCAATAGGAAGCTAATAAGAATAATAACAATAATAGGAATCTAATGCTACTGACTAAAACAATGGTAATAAAAATGAGACTTATTTGGTTCGTTCACATGGTCCAAGCATAAATTCGCCAACACCGTACTTCCTAGTTAGACATCAACTTTGTCCTCAAACTTGAAGGGAGTAACCCGTGACACTGAGTTTTTCCACGAGACCTGCCGATATTGTTACTCCCTAGTCCCTCTTAAAGGTATTAAGTATTGGGGTTTGATCCTAAAAAGTTAAACTTAATAAGACTTTATATGTTGGCTTGTATTTTTATTCGTGGTCAGTGTATGATAGTTTAAAAGAATGGAGTAATCCGCAACTCCAGGCTTTCCTATTATCAAACAGCATCATTATAAAACAAACAATCAACATGTGTGTCATAGCCACAAGACTTCACTGAGTCATGGGCAAAAGCCCCATTATCAGGCTCAATCCATCGAAATCCATCCTTGCTAGGAAGGTTCATACTATCTCGCTTGAAACGTTAGATTGCACACTCGAAATAGTTTCTAGATTTGGTCAAGATGAGGGGGGGGGGGGGGGGGGGGGGTAAAAAGGACATTAATGATGATTATGTGCTCTGGTGTGCCCCTAAAATGTGAAAACTACGGAACATGCACGTTCTCTATTGCATGTTGTTGAGCGTGAACGCTCTCGCTGCAAAACCCTCGAGAAGTTCTTGCAGAAAGGTATAAGAGGGGGTAGAGTATGTGGCAACTTAAACGGCAACGAATGTACAGGAGGCAAAAAAGAAATTGTTAAGAGGGGTTGGCAGTAGCAGCTGAATTACCAAGAGTCTTGGTAAGAAGTAACAGTCTTTACTTACACAACATTCCTAGTAGTAATTTTAGGATTACTAACTTATATAGAATGCCTGACATACCACTGCTAATAGGAAAATAATTAGAATAATAATACTCCCTCCGTTCCTTAAAACTTTGCCAACTTTCCTTTTTTGGTTGTCCCATTAACTTTGTCACTTTACCTTTTAAGTAAAGAATTTGCGGTTTTAGTTCATTCATGTGGCCCTAGCATGTGCTGCGCATTTAAAGCTCTTCAAGAACTTGTTACTACACGGTAAAAAATACGAAAGCATATCGGAATAATGAAATGAAGACAGTTTACAGAAAAAGGTGATAAAGCAAATGATACAATGAATAAAAATGAACAGAGCCTGTGCTTGAGATGCTATCAGCTATCTACATACACATAGATAAGCTGGATGTTATGCAGAAAGAATGTGTTCGGAATGAATTGAGGATTGAGATCATAGTAAACGAACTCTTAATTACCTCAACTGGTACTGTACGATATCCAGCAACACTACGTAGGTAGCTCAAATCATTCCACTTGCCCTTGGCTGGCCAATGATCCATGCAATCTCTGATAACAACAGGTGATCCAACTAAAAAATGATCTTGTAGGAAGCTCTCCAAGGATAATGCAGACCTTTTTCCAACCATTTTACAAGAGAGTGACTTTACAGGCAAAACCCGCGATACCTGCAAATTCACTCCAAAGCATCATGATACCTTTTCTAGAAAAATACAAACCCACCTTCACACATATAATTAATAAAAAAAACCACAGCCTTTATGATGCAGCAGAAAAGGTCAAAGGCAGAGTTGTAAGCTGAATGTGGTTTACTTCAAGGCCCTTACATAGAAAAAAGGAAATGGGATGGGAGAAAGAAAGAGAAAAAAATTAGTGATTCAAAGATGAGTTATTATCTGTGGAGCTGCTAATGGACAAGGTCCACAACAAAATTTTCAATTTTAGACTCCTGTGCAAAAAATGCCATGTTTACAATAATTTAGACAAACTGAACCTTCTTTATTTCATTGTTTCCTAGTTTTCTTTAACAAATTTATATAACAAAATTGAAGTCAAGTCGCCTCTTGTTTTATATTTTATAGAAATCATAGGGTAGTTTTTACATATAAAATTTAGAAAGCACTATTACATATTTAAATTTAAATATTATAAAAACCAAGTTGCAGATAACTTCAATCAAGTCTTGTTAATTCGTTATACGAACCAGAAAGCCATTTTGGGACAAAGGGAGTATTTAATTAGGCTTGAGTCGAGTTCAAATTGCAAAGTAAGATGAAAGGATCCTACGTGAAAGCTTGACGACCAGGCTAGCTCAAAGTAGAAAGAGGCTGAAATAATGTGTAGTGATTGATATATAAGATGTTTTTAATTGGACTGGTTTCAATCTCAGACCAGACTGGACTTCGACAATTGTAGAATACACATAGAATATACATCTTACTAACCATTCCAGACCAGCTAATACCAGACCAGACTAGATCGGACCAGATCAGAATATTTCAGTCCAATTAAAAACATCTATAGTATCTAAACCATGTTCTTCACTTGCATCACTTACAGGCATACTGAATGGCATCCTACTTTTTCAGCAACAACATAGACATATGGTGGATGATGAGTTTGTAACTCACAGAACCGGCTGTAGTCTTCGTATGAACTGGGAGAAATGCTTGTGAACAGTTAACTCATGATTATTTTTGTTTTCCAGTAATATGTTGTGGTTCAAAAAATTGGCTAGTACCTCCTCAAGTTTCAAAACCTTCGGTATATACTTTTAAATACTTTGTACTCTTGAAACTGTATGAAGTTTCAACATTGTTATTAACAAGCATAATTCTGACCACTTTGGAAACAGTGTATACTCAATATAGAACATACTTACCTTATTACTTATTACATGCATAATGCATTGTATACAACACAAGTCTATGTTACGTGTTGAAATAGAAACTGAAATGATATTAAAATGGAGAGAAGGATTTTCTGTGTATTTCATTAGAGGGTTAAGGCCCTATATATATATATTACAAAGATGGAATATTCCTATATAAGATGCTATACAATAATAATGTCTAGAGCATATTCCTAAAGCATATTCCTAGATACAATAATACTTTCACACTCCCCCTCAAGTTGGAGCATAGATATTTATCATGCCCAACTTGTTACATAAGTAATCAACTCGAATCCCATTTAGAGCTTTAGTGAATAAATCTCCAAGTTGTTCTCCAGTCTTCACATACCCGGTAGAGATTAATCCTTTTTGTATCTTCTCTCGAATAAAATGGCAATCAACCTCAATATGCTTTGTTCTCTCGTGAAATACGGGGTTGTTTGCTATGTGTATAGCAGCTTGGTTATCGCACCACAACTGAGCAGGCATTGGTGTCTCCAATCCAATTTCATTCAATAAATGGTGTATCCATATTATCTCACATGCGGATTGTGCCATAGCTCGATATTCTGATTCAGCACTAGAATGAGAAACCACATTCTGTTTCTTACTCTTCCAGGATACAAGATTACCACCAACAAAGACACAATAGCCAGATGTAGATCTTCGATCATCTTTAGAACCGGCCCAATCAGCATCTGCAAAGCATTCTATTCTCATGTGATCATGGTTTTGATAAACAATACCTCGTCCTGGTGCTCCCTTTAAGTAACATAATATGTGTTCTACAGCAACCCAATGATCAATGGTCGGAGATGACATGTATTGACTCACTACACTCACAGAATAAGCAATATCTGGACGGGTGACTGCGAGATAATTAAGCTTTCCAACCAGTCTTCTATATCTTTCTGGGTCTTCAAACGGTGTGCCTTCTTGAGTGAGTTGCACGTTGGGAACCATGGGTGTTGTACTTGGTTTTGCCCCTAATTTCCCTGTCTCAGCTAGTAAGTCAAGTACATATTTACGTTGAGATAGAAATATGCCTTTCTTACTTCGTGTTACCTCAATTCCCAGAAAGTATTTCAAAGAGCCAAGATCTTTCGTCTGGAATTGACTATGCAGAAAATTTTTAAGGGCCAAAATACCTGCATTATCACTCCCTGTGATCACAATATCATCAACATATACCACAAGCAATGTGACACCTGATTCTGTTTGTTTGTAAAAGACAGAGTGGTCTGATTTGCCTTTTATCATTCCAAATTGTTCAATTGATTGACTGAATTTCCCAAACCATGCACGAGGACTCTGTTTCAGACCATAAAGAGATTTGCGAAGTCGACAAACTTTACCATACTCCCCCTGAGCAACAAATCCCGGAGGTTGCTCGATATAGACTTCTTCCTTAAGGTCACCATGCAAAAAAGCATTTTTAATGTCCAACTGATGTAAGTGCCAATCATGAATTGCAGCGAGTGAGATAAGTAACCTGACAGATGTTAATTTAGCAACAGGAGAAAAAGTGTCAGAATAATCAACACCATAGGTTTGAGCATAACCCTTCGCAACTAATCGGGCTTTCAACCGAGCAACAGATCCGTCTGGGTTAACCTTAACAGCAAAGACCCACTTACATCCAATAGATTTCTTCCCTGTAGGTAAGTCAACCAAATCCCATGTACCATTAAGATCTAAAGCATTCATTTCCTCTACCATGGCTTGACGCCATTCAGGATGAGACAAAGCTTCTTTGACAGATTTGGGAATAGAAATAGAATCAATGGAAGCAATAAAAGAACATGAAGCAGGAGATAACTGATTGTACGACACAAATGAAGAAATAGGATGAGTACAAGACCGTGTACCTTTACGTACTGCTATTGGGAGATCAAGATCTGATGTGGAATCAAGATCTGAAGATGCAGATACTGGTTCAGGACATGAGATCGGAGTCGAACTAGTATCAGGAAAACTAATCACAGGTATCGTCGGTGGAGGGTGATCAGGTGCTTTGTGTCGACGGGTGTATACCAAATGTACGGGAGGCCTAGGGTCATGAACAGTAACTTGTGGAATATTTGTCGAAAGTGTGGACTCGGGAATAGTCATCGTGTAAATGAGAATATCATCATTACTCTCACGAATATCTGCCTTGGATGATGAAAAAGGTGTATTTTCATGAAATGATGCATCAATAGAAACAAGATACCGACCAGTACTCGGACAAAAACATCTATACCCCTTTTGGACTCGAGAATAACCCAAGAAAATACATTTTAAAGATTTCGGATCTAACTTTGTTAGATGAGGATTAACATCTCTAACAAAACAAGTGCAACCAAATATTTTAGGTGGGATAGGAAAAAGCTCTCTGTTTGGAAATAGACAATGATAAGGAGCTTTACCATTCAAAACAGAAGATGGCATTCGATTTATCAAAAAACATGCAGTAGACACGGCATCTGCCCAAAACTGTTTAGGCACATTCATTTGGAATAGAAGAGCCCTTGCAGTTTCTAAGAGATGTCGGTTCTTTCGTTCCGCAACTCCATTTTGAGGAGGTGTATCAACGCATGAAGTTTGATGAATAATGCCATGTTGAAGCATAAATGACTTAAATGTAGCAGATAGATATTCTTGGGCATTGTCTCCTCTTAACACCCGAACAGGAACGTTAAACTGAGTTTTAATTTCAGCACAAAAGGAAGAGAAATGAGTGAACAACTCAGATCGACGTTTCATGAAATACAGCCATGTCATACGAGAATAGTCATCAACAAAGGTAACAAAATATTTAAAACCAGCTTTAGACACAACCGGGCAAGCACCCCAAACATCAGAGTGAACAAGGTCAAATGGAGCATTTGCTCGTTTATTAACTCGCGGGCCTAAGCTAGTACGATGGTGTTTCGCAAATTGACATGACTCACATTGTAAAGAGGTCATCTTATTAAATTGGGGATTTATTTGCTTCATTAATGGGAGAGATGGATGTCCTAATCGGTAATGAGCATCTAACAAAGTCCCAACCCCAAGACAAGAGATACCTTTGGTGATGGATGTATCCAAAATATATAGATCAGCTGACTCATGTCCTTTACCAATGATCTGCTTCGTTAACAGATCCTGAAACACACAATATCCCGGAAAAAATGTTACAGAACAGTTAAGAGTACGAGTGATTTTACTGATGGAAAGCAGATTAAATGCAAAATTAGGAAGACTCAAAACAGGCGATAATGGTGATGTAGAAGTTGGAACAACAGTACCAGATCCAAGAACGGGTGAGGTAGATCCATCAGCTAAAGTGACACTAGAAGTAGGTAAATATGAATGAAATGACGAGAATAGACTAGGATTACCGGTCATATGATCTGTGGCACCTGAGTCAATGACCCATTTCGAGGATGAGGAAACAAGACACGTGTTTGAAATACCTGAATTAGCGGTTACCGAGATAGGGACAGAGGAATGCTTTAGAGATTCTTGGTAGCAAATAAATTTGGCATACTCGTCTGAAGAAATAGCAATTGATCCATCGGATGAACTGGTAGCGGAAGCAACATGAGCAAGCTGATTTCCTTGATTTTTGAACAGCAATTTTCTACATTCTTTGATCAAGTGTCCGGGCTTCTTACAGTAATTGCATATTACTCCTCTGTCAAATTTACCCGCACAAGACATAATTCCCTTGTTTTTTTTTCTTTTCCTTTTTTTTTTTGTTTTTTTTTGTTTTTGCAGTTTAATTGAAAATAGAGATAGCGGTGGAAACTTACAGCAGCCTTCTCATTTGTGGGCTGAAAATGTTAATAAGCAATCAACTGGGCCTTACTCCTACGGACTCTCCAAGCTTCGTCTTTTACTTGGGAAGAAAACACATGTGCTAACAGATATCCATTCTTCAACAATCAGATGCGCTAACGAGATGCGACCGACCGACAAATTTCCTCCAGCCCACAAAGATATCCGATGTGAGATACTAGCGACCAACAAATTTCCTCCAGCCCACACAAATATCCGTCGAATTCCCTCCCTTGAGAAAGAGCGAGAGAAGAAAACCAGAACAGAAGTATCACTGCGGATGTAGTGAGTGCTTCCAAAGGCCGTGTGGCTGATGGGCGTCGATTTGGAGTTGCGAACTTCAAACCCTGGTCAGAGACGGCAGGGATGGTCTTGTCAGAAATCCGCCGGGAAGATGGTCGGACCTGGCAGATTCTGAATGATGTAGTTTGCGTGATACTGAGATTCTGAATTTGCTTGAACTAAGGGTCTGAATAGAGGTTCTGTTTAATGGTGATGGTGTGTAGAGAGGTTCTGTGCTGCACTGAGTTTCTGGGAGACAGAATAGTACCTAGAGGTTCTGAACTGAACTCAGGTTCTGGGAGAAAGAACTGAGTCTGAAAACTAAAATGAAATCTGAAAAATAAACTCAAATGGATGGCTCTGATACCATGTTAAAATAGAAACTGAAATGATATTAAAATGGAGAGAAGGATTTTCTGTGTATTTCATTAGAGGGTTAAGGCCCTATATATATATATATATATATATATATATATATATATATATATATATATTACAAAGATGGAATATTCCTATATAAGATGCTATACAATAATAATGTCTAGAGTATATTCCTAAAGCATATTCTAGAGCATATTCCTAAAGCATATTCCTAGATACAATAATACTTTCACATTACGGATCCATTCATTACGGTTCGCTCTACCAAAGGTGAAAGAAGCCCGAGACCACTACATGTTTAAGTCTTTACTTAATTTGTGGTGGGGTAGGTTCAGAATTCTAAAGGGGGGGGGCTTGGTGCACTGGCTACAGTGTGACTACTGAGAGGTCACGGATTCAAGTCTTGAAAGCGGCCTCTTGTGTCTTGTCAAAATGTTTTGACATGGGAAGACTTGCCCCTTATACACCCTTGTAGTGGGACCCTTCCTGGACCCTCACCTTGCGGGGACGGTAATGTGCACTGGGCTGCCCTTTTTATACTTTGAGAATTCTCTTTCTTTTTCAGGCAGTTACTCTTGGGTTTCTCATACACGGCTTATTAGTTGGAATTATAGTTTAGCTTTTGAAATACTAATTCTCTTGGCACTTTATGGAGGTGTTGAACAATTTCACTGCCTAGATTAATTCTGAAAAACCATAGCCGAATTCCTTCCCTTGCAACCGAACTACGTCCACTACTGTGCTAGATGTTGAACCTTAGCCTCTAAGAGTATAGACTGTATAGTTACTTAAATATGTTTAAGAGTATCTGGTAAGAAGTTATCAACCCCATAATGGAAAAAATGGGGCAGAAAACATACAGAAACCGATTCAAGAAGCAGCGAACACACAACAACAACATCATCCAAACCTTATTCCCAAAAGATTTTGGGGTCAGCTAACATCGATCCATGATATCAGAGCCAAAATGGAAGAAAGATAAGAAGAATAAAAAGATAAAGTAAGATAAAATGGACAAGATAAAGATAAATATAAGGTAAAATAACATAAGAACATACGAAAGCTAAAAGATAAAAAGAGCATAAAAAATATAAAAATAACATAAGAACATATGAAGATAAAGAAGATAAAAGATAAAAGAAAAAGAGAAAGGAAAGAAAAGAGATCACTCATCCACACGAATATTCAGATTCTTTTAATCCAAGTCTGTTTGGGTCTTCCTCTCCCTCTTATATCCACCTCTTCTAAATAAAATTCCTACCAAGCATATCAGTGAACACAAACAGGGGGGTTTGTTTACCTCCTTGAGTTTCTCAAAGTATCTTCACGCACTTTCCACCATTCAATGGTAGTGTCTCAGTAAAAAAGATGCATAGACTCCCATAAGCATCTCTAGAAGACACATATCTTCTAAATAAAATTCCTACTATCAGTAAATTAAAGCCTCCTTAGAAGTTCCTGATGCTGTTCTCTATGACCAGTATCTGAGTAAAGTTAGAACATAGGTAGACTGGCAAACATATATTACCTTTTACACTACAAGTGTTATGAGAAGTCACCAACTGGAGAATTATAGGCTAATGCACGTGAAACCTAATTCCATTGTGATAGGTTTCAAAAACATGAAAAGGTACCTGCGTCTAGTTATAAATACACAGCCTGCAGACACAAATATAATTGACACTAGCAGCTAACACTGTACTCGTTAGTGAATGAGGAGGGGCAGGCCTTAATGTTATAAGCTTAATCGCGGTAATTTTGCAACAAGTTTAAAGTTGTAAGAGAGTGTGCATGGAAGAGACGAACCTCACCTCCTCTATATGTAAATCTGGAGAAACAATTGTATTGGGTTGTTCCCGTTGATCCTTTGGCGGGGAAGCTTCTATTGAAACATTCGCTTTCATCGATGCCTTTCGTACTGCGAGATTAAAGTCGTCACGAAGAGTCAATCCGCCCATGATGATGCCCATGTCGAGAACTTGAATGGCCTGGCAGAACTCTCCAGCGGCGTAATGGAGCCTTGCGACATGGAGACACGCAATGGAGTACGCATCCCTCCAAATGGGGAGAACCGAATTCCAGGGACCAGAGTGCAGCTGCTCCCAGGCCATTTCTCTCGCCGCTTCTGCCGCCCTCGCATCGCCTCCAGCAGCTAGAGCCTCCATTCCCACGTAAGCGTAGCCGCCTTCCTCCGTGATACGATGCAGCAGATTGGCCCGTTCCGCATCGAGAACCGGCGTATCCAGCACGTCGTTCTCAGTAGCGACGGCTAGGGACATGGGTGGTAGTTTGTTGCTCCAGTATCACACCGTCCAGCGAGAGGACTCCCAGATAGAGATAATCGGTTAATTATCTTAATTAATACGTAGTAGAAGTAAAACATTGAAAATGTGAACTTAATCGGGAGCGCATTCAAATTAATTCGAGAACGCAAAAATGTGCAGTTATTTTCAAGAATTAATTTGAATGTGTTCCCTATTGAATTTTTAGTTGAAATTTGATATGAGTAAACTAGACTTGGTGAATAAGATATTCAAAAAATTTCATCAAAAAATTACACCGGGAACTGCCCCAAATCGCGACGGCCGGACAGAACCTCCCATAGAAGGACTTAATTGACCTTTTTATGAAAGTTCGAGGAGCTATTTGACAGTTTTCCCTTGATAGAATGATAGGAGTAAAAATGTATATCACTTGACTAAAATACCCTTAACAAAACTTCAGATTTATTTACAATTAAAAAACAGGAAAATGTTAAAACAAATCAAAACCCTAACTAACACTACTTTGCCTCTGATCTATTGTTCAAGACCTGTCCCGGTGAGTTCGCCGCCGCCACCGTACGGAAGGTCCGCCGCCACCGTCCGGGGAGTCCACCGCCGTACGGAAGGTACGTCGCCACCGTCCGGGGAGTCCACCGCCGTCTGGCGAGTCCGCCACCACCTCCCGGCAAGTCCGCTACATGACATAGCATATGAGTTTTTTATTTTTCTTATGTAAATTACTCTTAAAATTTTGTAATCCGTCTACTCTATAAGATTACTCTTTTGGTATAGATTTACACTTTTGCCTGCTAAACTAATATTTACTATGAACCATATATGCTTTCATTATGAAACAACATGAAACCTGCATGATTGTGGCAATGTTAATATGCTATGCGTGCTTTGGATGGACCAATATTCATTTTCTTTGGGTTGTTTGACTATTACATTTTATTTGTGTAATGTACATCTTGATCCATATTTTCAAGATTTATAAATTTCTAATTAATCACATACAAGTACTACGTATGATATTGTTGGAGTATATTATCTCGATCTGTTACTGTTCAGGAGCCCAACGCATTACCCCAGTACAGGGCCCAAACGACGAGGGCCATTTTCAGCCAATCAGGCCTGTTTTGGCCTTTTGGGCCCATTTTGGCCCTCTCGGCCCATTAGGGCAGAAATGCTCTCATTCCCCCTTTTGCCTATAAACACGGGGCTTTCCCTCCATTTTAGGGGTGGCTTCTCTTCCTCCCTCTCTCTAGCTAACTTGTTTCCTCCATTAATGGGAGCTTCTATATTGCATTGTGTAATGGAGAGGAAAGTATTAATAAAATGAGAGGGCTTGGACATTGGCCTAAACAATCCCGTGGTTTTCTTCCTTTCCGGGTTTCCACATAAAAAGATATACTACGTATAATGCAAGACGTAGGCATTTCAACAAAATGTTTCCAAAAAACAAAAGAATTAATTTAGTATTGAACAGAACAGAGTGTGTATCATAATTTTCGCGAGAAAGTCGTTATATTTTTATAATTTATATATTTATATTTTTATATTTTACTTATTTTATATATTCATATTCTGATAATGTCACATGTATATATTCTATACACTGTAGATTTTTGTACAATTGTATTATTTCATATTTTATACTCCTTCCGTCTCACGAAACTTGGCTAAAGTTGACCAAGTTTTATGAGACAGAAGTATTATAATTCAAATTTAAACAGTTTTGATTCTGATTATTTCTTAAATGTGTGCATGTGTATTCTACAATATACTTTTATTTACCTTTATTATTGTTGTAAATATCCTTGTTGTTATTTATTAGTAATGGAAAATTATCCCCCTTAGCATACATTGTTGAAAGTCTGTTTGTTAGCACAATATATTGTAGATTGTTGATTAAAAATTATAACACTCTAGTTTAAGCGCATTAGACTGATCACCTATACTTGAAGAGTTCAAATGATACACGTGGATTATACAAAAACTACATATTACTCTGTATATTCTTATACAGTTAAACTAATTAAGAATCTTAAACATTGTGAAGATGTAAAATTACTATACGCAAGACATACTCATACACACGTACACACATATCTGACCTCTTGATCATAGAAAACCATTTCTTGAAATGGGTTGGCATGGCCATTGTTGTGCTGAGTAGTTGTGCTGATCGTATAGAGTAAGATATAGAGGAGCTATGGGATAATAAAGATGCATGAATGAATATATTTATAGTTGACTTGGCTCTTATCAAGTATAGTTGACAATATAAATATGGAGTTGAGAGGAATGAGAGGACAATTTTTTTATCAATCAGCTGCAAATATTGAGTAACGAACATGTTCCCGCCGTACAACGTACACTTATTTGAGAAGCCCAAAAAAGAGAAGCATTATTCATCTCCTTCTTTGTGAAGTCCGCAAGCCGCGGAGACGCCACCGGTCCGCCATTCGCCTTGACGGTCGTCCCTTGCTTTCCACCCCCATTTGTGTCGTGTAGTAACGTCCGCTGCCTGCGTTAGCTTGGCAGCCCGACTACTCGCCATGTCTGCCCAGCTAACTGTTGATTGTGGATCGGCGGCGTCGCCCACAGTCCAAGACTCCCATTCCGGCTGCCCTGCTCCACAGCTTCCATCCCTCAACTCCTTTGCTCTTTGGCCACTCGACAATCTCATCTCCTGCTCTCAAGAGAGAGAGGATTAGGGAGGGTATAAAGCTGAAGTTAAATCACAAGCTTCCCTATTTTTCTTCACTTTTCAGATGACATCGACAATAGATGTGAAATGACCATAAATTGTTTAAAATCTCAATGCACTACACTATCCTAGCCTCATTAATTACCTTGACCGGGTCGGACCCATTTTCTCACATTTCTTTTAGTCTCATTTTAGTTAGATCTTAAAAGCCGTGTTATTTGCTACAGTTATGGCCTTGGAATAATAGTAAAAGACATTCCTAATTTTTCTTCCATGCCGGGGCGTAGATTAGTTGGTAGGAAGGGGGGTACCATGATAGAGGTCCCAATTTAAACTTCAGATAGAGACATGATAAATGTTCAAAACTTAATTTACACTCTTCCGGATTGTTGTCCAACTGATTGTAGGTATCATACCTTTTTAATGGTTCTTCCGCACATGAAAATCTTGAACCTTTTAGCGGAGTAGTAATGAGAGCAATTGAGCAAGTCGAGGGTAGATGAAACTCATTAACTCTAACTCAAAGCGCCATCATCAGTGACAAAGCACAATCCACTGACCTTGGTTATATGGAAATCAAGGAGATAATTAATTAGATTAATCATACTAGGTATAGAAATGTAGATGTTTACTCATATTTAACGAATATAAAACATACAATCCTATTTTTTGAAGTTATATACTCCCTTCAATTTTTTGAAGTTAAATACTCCCTCCGTTCTCTAATACATATCCCTCTTTCCATTTTTAGAAAGTTTTTTCAATAAGTATACTCATTTACCCTCAATTCTCTTTTCCACTTTTTCATTTATACACAACTCACTACACCTTTTACACTACCCCTATTATTTTCCTCTTAAAACTTGTGTCAAACCCGATAGAAACAACTATTGGAGAACGGAGGGAGTATGTTTTTAATCCTACTTTGAAAAAAATCCACTTTCAAATACCCTGTTTGGGCTAAGCTGCTGTTTTCATTACTTTTGCTGTGAATTTATTTTTTTTGCTTAATCTGTCATCATATGCTCTTTTCGTTTGTGTGTTTGTAGATGTGTATGTTCAGTACGATACAGGTTCCGATTTCATCTATATATCGCTTGGAATCGGAACCGGACCGAGTCCACCTACCGCGACTTTCAGGGGGCCTGTGCAGTAGGTTTCCTGACACCTCACTTTTTAATTTAAGAGAAAAACAATCCACCCATTCTTTGCAATATTTTTTTGAAGGAATTGGGTATACCACTTAGATAGGATGACGACTGCCTGAGATAGAATGAATGCAAGTGAAGCTGAATGACACGTAATAAACCTAGTCAAAATAATATAAATCAAACAAGCAATATGGACCTGAATACTAATACCACTAAACAGTCTTCCATGATAAAATAAGCATGAATACCGAGGAACATGTTTAGATCTTATCCAGCTTTTCGGCCTTGATGACAGGGTTGGCCTTAGATATTGCATCACGTGCTGCAGAGCGATAGTCAAACAGGCAATCATGTTTGTCAGAGTAGCGGTGCGAGCCACAGAAAATGCCACCACAGCGGCACTTGAATCCAGTCAGGCCAACCCGCTTCTTGCAACTGGCACAACGGCTAGGACCGTCTTTAGCCTTAACAAGGTCCGGGGACTCACCTGAGCACAGAGTAAGGGATGAGGGCATTGAAACTGTCACAGCTTCAACAAGCACGTCTGCAGAGGCAACATGGGCATGTGGTCTCTCCTTGTCGCCACTTGTCGTCCCATTAACAAGATTTTCAAATGACAATGCCGCAAGGTTGGCTTGTTCTTGTTTCAACACCATGTCTTTGTAACACTTGGAGCACATGTTCATGTTTGCTGCACTACCAAAGAAGCCACAGTTGTTGATGCACAAAATTGGGCCTTCATGGGGGGCGTGGCATCCCGTCTCATTCTGCTCCATATCTCCTTACTGTTGCTGTAAGGCAATCATTTAGATGGAAACACTACACATTTATGCAACATCATAAACCTTCCACTAACCCTCTCCATAGATGGAACTCTAAAATAAAAATAAAAAACAAGAAAGAAGATATATTCTACACTCCTATAGCCTATGAGGTATTAGATCCATGTCCACATGCAAAACTGCATCCTCAATGGAAGGGCAGTTTAGCAAGGATTACTTGGCTGAGACCACTAAATGAAGATGATCAGCTGAATTTTCAAAAGCAGAAAACAGTGCATAAAATTGATTACAGCCAAATGATGATCTCATTGTGGCTAGCAAATGGCGTATGTAATTGTTCATCTAATTCTTAATTCCAAACTAATATTGGTGGGCTAGGGGGGGATTTGGAGGGCCGAGGGGTGCTATACTCTCAAGTCTCAAGTTAATTTGGAGATCTTTTTATTTTCAAAAGAATAAAAGAATAAGCGTATCCCCACAAGGCCCATCTTCCCTTTACACTAAGGTCTTTTCCGCCTTATGCAGGAATTCATACAAAAACCCTATAAGCATATGCATCATCTTACTAGAAGCACATAAGTAGTCAGAGCGCTCTTCTACAAAACAAATGACTAAAATAAGATATGAACCAATTATGCACTCTTAATGAACTAAACTAAACGGGGAAAAGATCAAAACATTTACTTATTCAATTGTTGGGTAAAAAAAAGCTTTGAGCAAGAATCTTTAAAAAATACGCGGTAAAAAATAAGACTTCCTTGTCATCTCCACATATTTTCCGAATAAAATCATGAACCGTAGAAAGACTGAAAAATGAACTCAGAAATAAATAAACAACACTGGAGGAGGGAAAAGAAATAGCGACGAATGAAGGCGAAGTATGATACAAAACTGAAATATCAGGAAACGGGTTTCGGAAACGGACCGGTACTGAGAGAAGATTTGTCGTCGATTCGGAATCGTGAAGAGGGGGCGTCGGGAGAGAGCCTTTTTGTTTTCCCCTGATTCGCTTCGTATCCCTCACGATCTCTGCTGAAATATCAGGATGAAGTGTCTTGCGCGGGAGTGTCAAACTCATTTACTCTTTAATTCTATTTAAGTCTTTTATAGGATTTTTTTTTTATATAATCCACGTGTCGGGGCTTACGTTCCCATAATCCTGAAGTCTATGGACTACCCTCCAAAGCCCCTAGACAGTTAAGTCCGGATCTGATCACAGTCAGCCTCGTCAGTACTGGCTCCAAAGGACGAATCCAGCAGGACTTACATCACCTTTCAGGCTGCTTCTCCCACCACACGAACCCGCTACCTTCATTACCATCTTCTCCCTTCTCAGCCGCTGAGCAACTCCGTGAAGGTAGGAAGAATCATTGGGAGCAAGACCTCCCTCCTCTCCCCTAAATGTGTCTAGCGGGATTCGAACCCGAGACCTCCGCTAGGACACGGTAACCTTCCACCCATTGAGCTGGAATGGTTGGTTTATCGGATTTTTTCTAAATCGGGTAATTGCTTCCTCTAAAATTTTCACCGGTGGTACATTTTATGCTTCTAGTGTATCTTTAATCTTTAATCTTCTTTAATACTCTTTTTACTATTTGATGGATAAGTGTATCCGGGGTATCTATCCGGGGGTTACTGCGGGGAGCAACTAGAGAGAAGTCAGAGCATAAATAAGAGAGAGTGAAAGAGTATATTGTTGGGAATGTAGTGAGCGTATTCAGCCTGAATTACAAATGGGGAAAGGAGTGCTATTTATAGTAGTAATAAATGCCAGATAGGGACACGTGTAAGCATTCTGGTGGTCGAGGGGTCACCTCAGCGGGGTGGCACTGGCACTCGCATGTGGCCGCATTAAATGCGGTGGTTGGATGTGACGCTTGTACTTGGTACGTTGATCCGGCGCATGTGAGTGGGAGATTCTGTCGAGGAGATGCCTTCGGCCGTAGATGATTGGCCGAAGGCTCTTCATACCGGGGGGGGGGGGGGGGGCTAGGTGCCGAGGGCTACCGTATCGCTGCTTTCTCCCGGACACTCTGAGTACTTTAAAGAAGCTATGTTGTGCGTTTATAAGCCTTCGGCCAAAGGTCCGAAGGCACACCGGTGTTCGTCGCTGGTTGTTTGGCACTTGGGGCGCCGTAATTTGGGCCTGCCATGCTTCCTAGGCCTGTTGGGCCTTTGCTACAGTAGTGGGAGTCTATGGGCCGGGGGTTCCTAGGCCATATACTCCATCGGGAGTCTCTCACTCCTTTTGCCGAAAGGTACTTGAGGGAAAAGGAGTAATTTGTGTTTGTCCTCTGCCGTTGTTCCGTTGTAGCTTGTAAAGTTGTGAGGAGTTCTCTGTTTGAAAGTTTTTGCCGAAGGCAGTCCCTCAGTCCCCCACATTTTGGGACTCGAAGGGTTGTGTTGCTACTTTGGGGAGTTTTTGGTATTTTGAGATTTTCTCGAAGGGGTTCTTCAGTCCCCCACTCCTTGAAGCACATGTAATGTGGTGAAGAGGAGTAGAATAGTGCCCGCTGTCGCGTAGGGCCGAAGGTTGACACTTTTCATTTCATTTTGGGGGGATGCCTCGTTAAAAACCTCATTAGGAAAAACCCTGTGGGAAAATATCCTAATGAGGGAAAAAGAGTGCACCGAATTCCCCCAATGATGACTCGAAAAGGTGAAACCTTGGTCTGGGATGAAGGAAAAAGTTTATGCCGAAGGCTACTCTTGATTTGAGGGTGCGTGGTCTTGACTTTACCGAAGGCGCTTTGTAGATGTCCCGGGGGATGCCGAAGGGGAGTCCCTCAATCCATGGGGTTGAGGGCGTGATGAATGTAAGTGGTAGTGTTGCGTTGCCGGGGGGATTCTCTACCTGTTGACAAGCTAGGGATGAGGGCACCCGGGGGTCCCGTTGTTGTAAGTTGAAGGTTGTCCACCCAAGAGGGGCTTTAAATTTGATGTCCCCGAGGGGTCTCCTTATTGCGTGGCCAGGAATAGTTGGTGAAGGTTCCTGAGGGGTTTACCCGTTGTTAAGCCTGGGTTCCTGAAAGAGAGAGCCCGAAGGCACTCGTGATGTTGCATGAGATGTACCGGGCGGGGGCACCTCTGTGTTTTCAAAATATAGCCGTTGAGATATGACCGTTGGGAGCGGAGTCTACGTGGCGTGTGCTCGTTGGCTGCCTGTGGGCGGGCGTCACCGATTGGGCAACTCGACGGTTCGTAATGATGATTTTTCCATCGGGGGCCTAATTTCCGACCCAAGCCCGGATTTGGGTGCCTATAAATACCCCAAGGCCAGGGGCCGTTCTCCTTGTGCGATCATTGCAGCGAAGCTCTGACAGTTTGATTTCTAGAGAGAGAAAATCCCCCTCAGACAAAATCAAAGCTCCCCAAGGTCAGTTGTTCCCTTTGTTCTTTGTTTTCTCAGTGTGTTTTGTGGCCTTTAGATCTAGCGTTAGCGGTCCTTAGGGAAATTCCTTCTTCTGAACCCTTCGACTTCTAGTTCTTAGAAAATGCCTTCGCAAAGTGATTCCCAAGATATTTCGAAGGAGCATTTAGCCGAGGCCGAGAGCATATCCGAGGTGGAGTCTTCGAGCGAGAACCCCTCGGCCGGAAACGATTCGGCGGTAGCTGAGTAGGTACAAGACAACCTCCGGGTAGAAATGGAAGCCGAAGACTTCGAGCAAGTAAATGAGGACGAGGAGCTGGCCCTCGTCGTTCAAGTTTCTGAGGAGGAGGAGGAAAAGGAGAGGTGGAAGGTTACCGTTGCCGTCCTTCCCCCGCGCAACGCTGGAGAAGCCAGCAGCTCCCGGCCACTCAACGCATAACCCCTCAGGGTGGCTCCGGGGACGAAGGCCAAGAAGAAGGCGTGGGGGGGGGGCAAGAACAAAGGCGCTGCAGACCAAGGGAAAACCGTCGGTATTCTTGAGGGGTATTCGTTCCTGAACACCAAAGCCCTTGAGTTGAGGTCGAGGGCTGATGAAGCGGAGTGCTACGTGGCGCAGCTGCACGTGGGGCCCTCGGCGACTGTGGTGGTGCCAGGGCTTGATGACGTACTATCTCGGGCTCCCGAGGGGTGTTTTGCGGTGCATATCCTCTCGGTATCGATGGGGCTTCGATTCCCTCTACATCTGTTCCTCCTTGAGTACCTGAGGTATGTTGGCTTAGCTCCCTGCCAACTCACCCTAAACAACCACTCCTACATCACCGGCTTCTTGCAACTCTATCGTGACCGGGAAGTAGCCCCCAGCCTCGATCTCTTCTTTCAGAGTTTCAACCTCTGACGCGGAGGTCATACAATGTCGAGGGGTTCGCAAACCTTCAGCAGCTTGCCATGTGGAGGCTATTTGATGACGTACCCTCGTCCCATAAGGGTTGGAAAGATCGGTTCTGCTATGTCAGGATGAAGGAAAACTCGTTCCCGGGGGAGCTGCGGAACTATTTCAGGCAGCATCCGAAGGTGGAGGGTGCCGCCCTCGAGAAAGACGGAAGGAAGGTCTCGGCCATCCCAGTGGGTCGCAACAAGCATGTGTCAATCAAGGAATTGACCCTCGATGATGATCTACATAATCTCGATTTCCGGCGCTACCGTTTCCTGGGGGAACGGGATGAGAAGTATCCCATCTGTGATCGAGTGTTCGAGGGCATAGGAGGTGGTTCCTGAAGGCTTCCGTTGTTGTACTTAGAAATATTTTGTACTTCGTTTCTGCTCTTGTATCTGTACCCCTCGGACTTACAGTTTTTGTTGTTTTGCAGGTGTTACAATGAATGTGAAGGGCTTCGCTGGTGTGAAGAAGAAAGCGGCCAAATATCCAAAGGAGAAGCCCGTCGGTGCTTTTTTCAAGAAGGCCGAGGGTCCGTCGATGCCCCCTACCATTGATGCTGCTGCAGCCGCCGCGAAGAGGAAGGCGGCGGGCAAGGACGTTGCCCCCGTTGGCAAAAAATCGAAGAAGGGGGATGCCGGGAGGAAGGATCCCCCAGTCCTGATCATTGACGAGCATTCGGCCTCTGACCCTCCGGCCATGGTAGCGACGGCTCCTGCCCACCCCCCTTCGGCACAACAGGGTGAGGGGGATTTGCCCCGGGAGGATATTCAGTTCTCCCTCATAAAGGGAACTGCCATAGTGCATGGCACTGTGGATCCAAAGGAGTTCCTTCGGGGCGCTACTCCTTCTCTGGACAAGGCGGCTCTCAGCAGGCTCGAGGATGATGCCCTCGATAATAAAATCCTTCGGTCCTCACTAACTGTAAGTTTTTCCTGCCTTTGACTCCTTTGCTAGTTTGTCTGGGAGTCTTTTGCACAGTAGCTTAACTTTGCTACTTGTCTGTTTGCAGGCTTGCATTGCCCTCGGCGAGCAAGTCCGGAGGGCGGAACAGCTGCGCCTCCAGAAGGCGGAGCAAGACGAGACTTTGAGGAGGCTCGTTCATGACAATGCTGACGCCGCAAGGCAAATGGCGAGATTGGAGGAGAGCCTTCGGCAGGCGGAGCAGAAACTAGAGGCCGCCAAAGTAGAGGCTAGAGCCGAGGGCAGGGCCGAGGCCGAGAGGGCAGCTGCTGAGGCTGCAAAGAAAGTTGCCGACGAGGCCGAGGCGGCCAAGGGGGAGGCCATCGCAAAGGATCGGGAGGAAGCTGTTGCCGCCTTCGTTGCTGAGGGTTGGAAGGCCGAGGGGTACAAGCAGTGGTTGTCCTCGGCCGTAGGGGCATCAGTGGATGAGTGGTGTGAGGGCCCCGGAGTAGAGTGGTTGGCCCGAAAAGGCAAGGAATATTATGATGGGGGCGAGTTCTTCACTTAGGCCCTCATATACCGGAGGATGGCCCAACACCTGAAGATTGAGCCAAAGGATTTTGATCCGGCGGCATATGGCCTCCCGCCCTTGCAGCCAGATGTTCGTGTCCCTCTTCCCCCAGATGTCGAGAGGCCTGATCTTGAAGATTCCATGCTGATGGCCGAGGCTGAGGATGACCAAGTGGGGACCGAAGGGGACATCACTTCCAAGCCGGTTGAAGAGGGCACCGATGAAGCAACCGATATCTGATTTCGTGCTTAGGAAATCTCGAACAATCTTCGTAAAAACA